AATCTACCGAGCTCGGTTTGTGACCTAATTCTGAAAATTAACTCGAATGAGTTCGACAAAAGACAACCCGTTTTTGCCGAACAAAGGGGGGCGGGGCTAACTGTTGGAGATGAAAACCGCACCCTGTTTTTACCCAGTACGAATCGAGATAGACATGAATTAAGTCCGGTTTACAAACGAATTATACCGGGAAGATTGGGCCAGACGAGTTCCTAGGCCGAATGCGACCCGTTAAACCGATGTCGGTCGGAACTTCTCAAAGGAATCGACAAGGATCCTGAGTTCGGATGAAAAAGGAAAGTTCCTGAACGAAAAAAGGAAACTCCCGAGAGAAAAGGGAAGTCTTCTCGGTCCCATATCAAAGAGATGCTCCGCGAAGACCGACTTAGAGTGCATATATAAAGGGAGAGGAATCAACACTAGAAGACACAAGAAATCCCGAGAGACTTAGAGACCGAGAACTCAAGATATTGCTAGCTTCTTAGTTTCTTAAGTCTTAGTTCATTTATCACTTTTATATTTTGTTCGATCTAATAAAATCCGAATTTCCGATCTGAATTACTGTTTAGCCCCTTTGTGTGATATCATATATCAACAAGTTTAAAAAAGAAAATTCCAACCTCTAAGTGAAAAGAAAGAAAGAAAAGAAGACAAAAAAAAGCTCAAGTGTCTAAAGGGATAAGAAAAGAGGCGAGATAGTGCAAGTGAGAAAGAGATAAGTGTAAGGTTTAGACCCCAAAGCCAGAGTTTGAAAAGGAAAGTTGAATCCCCTGGTGAGAAAAAGAATGAGAATGAAGTGAGAGGTGGGTTTAGAAGGCAATGAAAGCCTTGGAAAAAGGGTAGCTTAGGTGTGTTCTTCATGAGTTTAGAGTTAAGGTTAAAGATCAACCTTGGGGCATTGGGTAGATGGGAGTATATTCTTGTATGCATCAGTTGCTTTTTACCCTCAGCCTTCTGTTAAAGTTTATTCATTCATAGAGTGATCCCTTGAGCTGCATTGAACCCACTTAAGCATTGAATGAGACCATCTTTGTATCATAATCTCATCCCTCAGACAAACAAGTTAATTTGAATAAGCATCACTTGATCCACATGGTTACAACTTAATGAATGTTAAAAGGCTGAAGGATAAGATTGCTTGTGTAGGTCAAGGTTTGAATTTGTTGCATCCAAAGTATTCCTTGTATTGCATTTCAGAATTAGTAACTAGGACCATGAGCTTGAACTTTTTTGATGATCAAATCTCTCTCTTTAAAGAAATGTGAACTCCCAAACTCCAACCCTCTCTCTCATTTGTTCTAGTTGACTTGAGGGCAAGCAAAGGATAAGTGTGGGGGATTTGATATATTCATATCATTGCATGTTTATGATGCATTTTTGGTCCAAGAATAAAGTCTCATGCATATATTTTAGATAGAATCTTCATGATTTCTCCTTGTTTTAGAGTTTTAGGACTTTTCATTAGGTCCAAGTGTGTCTTGCATGTTTGGAGTGTCAATCAGGTGCTTTGGAGCTCATTTGGAGTGGAAAAGATGGAACCAGGTGAAGAAAATGGTGAAAGAATGTCAAGAAATGGTGGAAATAGGCATTTGGAGTTTATCGGCCAAACTGGTGTACCGCAGGAAGGATTTCTTGGCCAAAACCTTACCGCGTGAAGCATTCCTCGGTCAATACCGGAACGTAGTACATGTTCCTTGACCAAAAGTTCCTGATCGCCGATACGCTCCAAAGATGACCTGAGACGAAGCCTTTCCCAGCTAATTCAGTTTCCGGTGTCTTCATCAAGATTTGCGATCATTGAGTGTAGTTTACATATCACTTAGAATTACCTTATTTGGAGCAGTGACCTGAAAGGTACCGCAAGCGGGAGAAGAACATGTCTTGGAGCCATTCCTCGATCATTCTGGTGCGCCTCAAAGAACAGCCGTCCGGGAAGCCTTGCTCTCCATGGATGCAGATAGACTCTTCACTAAAGTTGGATCTTATTGAGCTGACGTTCTCCTGGAGCTGGAAAATTGAGTTTCGGATCATTGAACACTGGGATGATTATGGTCGGAGTAAGCTGTATTCCGAGGACCACCTTCTTTGAACTTGATACCGGGGTCTACACTGGGATGTTTCAGTCCGGAATAAGCCAAACCTTACACCAATTTACTCCAGATCCACACAGACCAAGTTCATCTTGATGCCATGCCTGGTGTAATTCTCAACGTTTTTTACACCAGGATGAACATCGCCCAAAAGCACTCCGGTGCAACTTCCCTCGGTTCAAGACTCTTCTCCACACCCAGCAGCCTCATGGAGATGTGATCTCCGGTGCAGACTTCAACGTTTTTGCACCGGGCACAACATCGGCCAAACCTTGCCCGGTGCTGATGGGCCTCAGGGTTGCTCGTCTTTTGCAAGCCCGTTGGTCCAGAGTTTTAAATTTATAAAACTCTAATGTCTGAAAGTGCATAGATGTACGTTGTAAGACTTAGGGTGTCGATCCACAGGGAAGATGTCTAATCTGCAAGGAAACACCAAACTGGGATAGTAATCAAAGTCATAAACTCATGAGGGTTTAGTGTTTTGGTTACGGGATCCTAAACTAAACATAATCTAATATTTACAGGAAATAAAATGCAATGCAAATGAGTTGCTAAAAGAATATCTCAAGGGTGTTCGACTCAAACTATAGCTCTAGACTCATAGTGGGCGATTTAGACTTCTACGATTTATTCTAATTGATGTCAAAGCATTTCCAATAAGCTTCCGGGCGATTTATCCATATCTATTTTCTGGGATCTGCATGGAACTGAAATAGACATGTGTATGATTAACCAACTCTTGCCATCTTAATCAACTAATCACTTAAATCTGATAATTAACTCTCGCTCTCATGCTAAGAATAAGATCATACATTAACTATTGAACTCGTTTGCTCACATCTTCTCTACAGGTAGCTCTCGATTCCTGTAGCGACTATGTTCTTCTGAAACTATGTATGGATAATCTGATACAACACTCTTGTGGCTCTGATTTGATCAACTTGTTCTCCATGTATTTTTTTATTGTACCATTGGATCTTCCTGATGTAAAGTGCTATGAAAAACTAGTCTCCAAATTTGAGCTGGATCAGACGGTGAGAAAAACTTCATTTTAGGCTGAACTTCTGACAGTCTGACTCTGAGCTAAAGATGTGGATTTCTTCCATTTTGGCATCTTTTTCCGTAATTTTCCTGAAATGAGCCTTAAAACTACAAATATAGAGAAATCATAAAAAAGTTCATAAAACTAATTAAAATCTTTGAAAAAGCGTTTGAAATGAATGGTAAAAATGGGTACAAATACGGTGTTATCAGGTGCATTCTCCATCGTTGAAACTTGTTTCCTCACTCCGGCTTTGACATTGGCCACATGAACCACGGAGTCAGCTCACACTTTGAAGAGAACTTTAGGACACATCAACACTGGCCAAAACAGCGGCCAAATGATGCCCTATATAAATGTGTTAGCATTTGTTTTAGTGTTTTCTTTCTGGGTCAACATCTGGTTTGTCCCCCTGGATTGACCCGGAACTTAGGAAATCACTATAAATTCATTTTAGGGTTTTACCCCATGGATTATCCTTGGGTCCCTTAGATTTTTTTGCCTCTTTTGTGCTAAGAATACTTTGAGAGAGATATCTCCTTTGATTTTAATCCGAGAGAGTTTTTAAGAGTTTAATCATGTATCTATCATCAATCCATCTTCTTCTATCTTTATTTATCAGCTAATCATGCTTAACTACTCTTCTTGCTAAAGAATCAGAGAATTAATCATGATTAGTGAATAGCCACCTCATTAGGGTTCTAGATATATAGGTTAGGGTGCTTAGGGGTTTGATTAAGTTGCATAGGACTAGATTTATGCATCTCAGTCTTGTTTAGCTGATCTTAATGCTGGTTTTATATGATCTCTCTAACCTAGATTTTAGGCATTTCATTCACCCAAAAGGTGTTTGATGAAATGCCTGAACCAGCTAAGTCAAGAATCTATTGTTTGATTCACATGGGAATGTTGTTTTGAGCATAGATGGTATATTAGGATCGGTGTTTAATGCATTCCTTTTGTTGGAGGTAAAAACCGCACCTCCGGTTTTCTCCGGTACAACCCAAGATCGACACAAATTAAGCCCAGTTGATGAAGGAACTGTACCGGGAAGATTGGGCCGAACTTGGTCCATGAACGCGGAGTCAGTCGGAACTTCTCAAAGGAATCGAGAAATTTCCTGAGATCGGATGAAAAAGGAAACTCCAGAATGAAAAAGGAAACTCCCGAAAGAAAAGGAAATTCCTCGCGGTCCCATATCGAAGAGATATCTCGTGAGGACCAATTTAGAGCACATATATAAGGGGAGAGGAATCGACACTAGAGGACACAAGAAAATCCCGAGATACCTAGAGACTGAGAACTCAAGTTATTAACAGCTTCTTAGTTTCATAAGTCTTAGTTTGTTTATTATTCTTATAAACAAACTCAGTTGTATTTCTACGATCTGATATTAATAAAAACCAATTTCCCAATCTAAGTACTCTTTTGCCCCTTCGTCGATATCATATATCAACATTTAGCGCGCCAGGAAGGGGGCGCTTAACAGAAAGACACAGTTTTAGATCGGAGTACAGAAAAGTCAGATCGGCAATGACAGATCCCGTCGATACCCAAAATGGGAATGAGCATCCCCTCGGACAAGAGCACGGTGATAACCAAACTCTCGCAGAGGGAACAGAGGGAACCCTTGTCGGTACCAGCACCGGCATAAACGCCAAAACAGGGAACAGGCGAATTCTCCCAACGAACTCCGTCACCGGAGCTCTCGATGCCGAGCTACTCTTCCAAGCCTTTACTGCGCAGTTCGAAGCCATCAACAAAAGAAGTGGAGAACGCTTCAGTCAGATGGCGGCTCAAATCGCCAAACTCAGCGAGCTCGTAACATCATTAACGATCTCAACATAGAGAGTGAACCCACTGGGACAATGCGATCTGCCGCTCTTGGGTCAGCAAGCGCTCCAGCTCTGACAGATCCAACTCGTGACGCTGAGATTGAGGCAATGAAGGCACAACTTCGCCAAATCACGTCAAAAATTCATCGACCAACAAGCGCGGTTCCAGAGATCGATCGTATTATCCAGGAAACACAAAAGACACCTTTCACCCCATGCATTGCAAGCACACCTGTTTGGCAATTAGAAAAGCTCAAGATCAAGATTTACGAAGGCGACAGTGACCCACGCCATTTCCTGACCTCGTTCGGAATCTGTATGAACCGATACCAATTCCGGACTACTGAAGAAAAGGATGCGGTCCAATGCCAACTGTTTGTTGAAGGCCTCGGTGGAATAGCTCTTGATTGGTTCTCCCGACTCGAGGCGAACTCAATAAACAACTACAAGGAGCTAGCCACAGCATTTGTCAAGCACTTCTCAATGTTTATCGAACATAACACAAAGAATTCTGAACTATGGCAGATCGCTCAAGGAGAAAACGAAAGCTTGCGTGACTTCATTCATCACTTTAAAACGGTGGTCGCCCACTGTACAATGAGCGATGAAGCTGCTCTCCTATGTCTACAAAAAAGAGCTCAGATCAAAACAAGTTTTTGAAGTGTGATCAAACATAACCCACCCCTAACTTTAGAGGACACGTTGCACCGAGCTAACACATACATAGCAGAAGAGGAGGAGGAAGCTGCCCACGACCGGAATTATACGCCAAAACAGATCGAGTACAAGGAGCGACCCAAAACTGATGCATATGAGCATCAGTCAGGTTACGGCAGAGGGTATGAGAACCGTAAAAAGTTCTACACCAACACCATCAATGTGGTCCAGCAACCGGAAAAGCAATGGAACAAGTATTACCGGACTGACGAGGATGACTCTTTGTTTTGCGAGTTCCACAACCGCAGAGGTCACAGCACTGAGGAATGCAGACATCTGAAAGAATACCTTCTCGCGCAATACCAAAAATGGCAAATCTCGCTTGACGACCTCCGCCGTTCAACCACACAAAGAAGCAGATCACCCTGACCTAATAATACCTGCCAGCATTATCACCTCCTCCTTTGATGTTACCAAATATACCCGCCCAAGCAACAAAAGCGCAACTGCGATGAACCGGCACCAGAGGACCATACCCTCAAAGCCAGAAAGTGTGTTAACATGATCATGGGAGCCATCAAGGCCTGCAGTTACTCAGTTCGGGCAATCAAGGAGTACAGCCGACAAGCTGCCCCCGCACCTAAATTTCCGAACACTACCGCAATGGGAACGCCCTTGGTATTTACTAAAACTGACACGATTGGACTAGACATGCCGCATAACGATGCTATAGTCGTCGAACTCCTTCTAGACGATGTCGAAGTTAGCCGAATACTTATTGATACCGGCAGCTCGGTCAACATGATCTTCAAAGACGCACTCGACCAACTCGACCAGCTCGACCTCCGCACCGATAAAATCAAACCTTTCATCGGACCACTCACCGGGTTTGACGGCGAACATTATATGACGGTCGGCACAGTAAAATTTCTAATCTACCTTGCCGGAGTCGCAAAGATCATAAAATTTCTCATCCTCGACAAACCAGCAATCTATAATGCCATATTGGGAAAGCCTTGGCTCCATGTGATGAAAGCTGTTGCCTCAAGTTTCCCACCCCTGACGGCATATACACCCTCAAAGGTAACCAAGGCATAGCTCGGTCGTGCTACATCAACGAAAACCAAGCTTGTGTTATCAGCTCTCAAAGTACAACAACCGACCTCATCATCCAGAAGTCAAAACCAAAACAAGAGGTCATCACCCAAGTCTGCCTCGTTATCGGTTCGGTATCGGTTCTGAGCTTGACCCAAAAATCCAGGAAAGCCTCGTTCCCTTCTTGAAGCAGCACTCTTCCACCTTCGCACAGTCGGTCGAGGATATGCCTGGAATCAATTCACATATCGCCTGTCACGAGCTTAACATTGACCCAACTTACAAACTTATCAAGCAGAAATGACGAAAGCTCTGACCAGAGAAAGCACAGGCAGTTAACGATGAGTTGGAACGAATACTCAAAGCAGGATCAATCACCAAAGTCAAATATCCTGATTGGCTGGTGAACCCGGTGGTCGTTAAGAAGAAAAACGGCAAGTGACGAATCTGAGTTGACTTCACCGACCTCAATAAAATGTGTCTCAAAGACAGTTTTCCCTTCCCATACATTGACAGACTCGTTGAAGCAACTGCCGGGAACGAACACCTCTCCTTCATGATTGTGTTTGCCGGATACAACCAGATCCTCATGCATCCTCAAGATTGGTAGAAGACGTCATTCATCACCGACCGCGGCATATATTGCTAAAAAGTCATGCGATTTGGCTTGAAGAACGCTGACCCGACATACCAACGCCTCGTCAACCGGATGTTTGCAGTCAACTCGGACGAACCATGGAGGTCTACATAGACGATAGCGGCAACCTCCGCACTTGTTTCGATATACTCGATTAGTATGGCATGAAATTAAACACCACCTAGTGTACCTTCGGTGTAACGTCGGGCAAATTCCTCAGGTACATCGTCACTCGATGAGGTATCAAAGCCAATCCAAAGTAGATCGCAGCAATCCTCGAACTTCCTTCTCCAAGGACCAAGCGAGAAGTCTAGCGACTAACAGGACGTATAGCGGCACTCAACAGGTTCATATCTTGATATACGGATAAATGCTTACTGTTCTATCAACTCTTCTGAGGAAACAAGCACTTAGAAAGGAATGACAAATGCGAAGAAGCTTTCACCAAACTCAAAAAGTACCTGTCTACTCCCCCAGTTCTTTCCAAGCCAGAGATCGGCGAAACACTTTATCTTTACATCGCAATCTCGAAGTTCGCAGTCAGCAGCATACTCGTTCGAGAAGACAGAGGTGAGCAGAAACCAATCTTCTATATCAGCACAACCCTCGATGGTTCGGAATACTGATACCCAACTTTGGAGAAGTTTGCCTTTGTTGTTGTCATCTCAGCACGAAAACTGCGACCTTACCTCCAGTCACACGCCATCGTCATTCTAACTGATCACCCACTTTGCACTTTCCTCCACAGCCCAAGCCAGTCAGATCGTCTAGCCAAGTGGGCAATCAAACTCAGTGAATACGACATCGAGAATAGAAACCGGACCGCGACCAAATCCTAAGTCCTCCTCGCGGATTTCCTGATCGAACTACCTTCAGAGCTCGTAGATGCCAATACAGTCGTGCAACCATGGATCCTTCATGCCAACGGCTCCTCTTGTAACAAAGGATCTGACATCAGAATTTGTCTCAATTCTCCCGACAGCAAAATCCTCGAACAATCTTTCCGCCTCGAATTCCGGGCGTCAAACAATGAAGCCAAATCTGAAGCACTTATCGCTGAATTACGGCTCACCAAAGGAATCAGCGCTCAACATGTCCATGCATACTGCGACTCTCAGCTCGTGGTAAAACAGTTTCACGGAGAATATGAAGCTAAGAACGATCACATAGATGCATATCTCAAGATCCTCAAAGACCTTACTTCAGACTTCTCCACCTTTGAGCTCACGAAGATACCATGCGATGAGAACGCCTCTGTCGATGCCTTAACTGCCCTGGCATCTAATTCGGACCCCAATCTTTGACGAATGATCTCGGTCGAGGCAATCGACCAACCTAGCATCAAACTGGCACCTGTTTGCAACATCATACACGACACCGCGAGTACGAAATGCACCCAAACTTAGCACCACCCCTCACGATGAAGAAGAAGACCGCGGAACCTGTTGTCGACCCCAATGTTGAACCCGACGCACCTAGCGACACAGAGTCCAATCCCGACGATGAGTCCGAAGGACAACATGTTCTGGTCGACATTGAAGCCGAAGGCGAAGATGAACCCGAACACTGGACCTTAGAGATCGTAGGTTACATCGGCGATTGCACGGTCCCTTCGGACAAATGGGCAGCCCAGAGACTTAAAGCTCGAGCAGCTCGTTACGTCGTCATCAAAGGAACCTTACTCAGATGGGATGCATCTGGCACACTCCTGATCTGCGTTCACGGAAACGACATCATGGAACTCATGAAAAAGGTACACGAATGCAAAGGAGGGAATCACTCTGGAGCTCGCTCCTTGGCTTTCAAAATAAAAAAGCCAGCTACTATTGGCCCACAATGCTCTCAAACTGTGAGAAGTACGCCGCCTGATGCAAGAAGTACCAACGTCATGGCCTGTTGATCAACCTTCCCACCGAACTACTAATAATTTCTACGGCACCCTATCCCTTCATGCGATGGGCAATGGATATTATCAGACCCTTTCGACGATCAACAAGCCAAAAGCAGTATGTGCTCGTCGTCAGTGATTACTTCACCAAATGGGTCGAAGTCGAGGCATACCCCAAAATCCACGGAATCGATGCCAAGAAATTCGTCTGGAAGTTCATTATCTGCCGACACGGAGTACCATACGAGACCGTCACCGATAATGGCACTCAATTCACTTCATCACTTTCACCAACTTTTGCACCAATTGGAAAATTTGCCTAAGTTTTTCAACTCCAAAGTATCCACAAGGAAATGGGCAAGCTAAAGCAACCAATAAGATTATCATTGACGACCTCAAAAAGCGGCTCGATACGGCAAAGTGAACGTGGGCAGACGAACTCGATGGCGTTCTCTGGTCTCATCGAACTACACCTCGGCGATCTATTGAACAATCACCTTTCTTCCTCGTGTATGGAATGAAGGTTATGTGTCCTGCCAAACTGAACGTTCCCAGCATTCGCCGAACTATGCTCACTCAACAGCCAAGTGTCAACAAAGACATGATGCTACACACGATCGACTTAGTCGAAGAACAACGCGAACAAGCGTTCCTTCGAATACAGAACCACCAGCAATTTGCAGCTCGCTACTATAACAAAAATGTTAAGGACCGTCACTTCAAGGACGGTGACCTCGTACTCCGCAAGGTTTACCAGAATACCGAAGAAAAGAATACAGGCAAACTTAGGGCAAACTTGATGTGCTTGTCATGATGAGGGTGTCAAGTTTTACCCTAAATGAAATCAATAGCCGCAAGTGCACAGCTGAACGATTGTAGTACTTAGGGATCGAATCCACAGGGAAGGAGGATCTTTCCTACAAAAGCCTTCGAAAGAAATATAAAGTAAGGAAGTCTCGAAACCAGGCGAGTTTTGTGAGGGTTTTGGTGGTGTGTTTAAAACATAAAAACGAATCTTAAAGAGACAATACGGTAATTAAAATGACCAAATAACTAAACTTAACGAAAACGAATAAAAACGAGAAAAACGGCTAGACCTAATTGCTAAGTAAAAATCGATTGAAAGAGTTAAGAAACTAGACTAAAGCTTGAATAAAAATCGGTGTAAATCTATAAGAAAGAAAGTGCTGGGGTTTAGGGAAGTTTTCTCAGGGGTACGATGGATTCAAAACACTCCTAGAGAGTAAATTTGATAAGATTTTAGCTTAAACTTTTCGAACTGGAGTCACGGACGTATGAATACGCCACTGTCGTGATCATAGAAAACTATCTCTCTTAACCCTGACCAGTAGGTTTCCACTCTGGTCTTGGAAAAGAAGAGGTGCATTATGTTTAAGACTCGTCAGCATTCACAAATCGCCCATAGGTAGGTTTCCACTCCTATGTTTGTTTTGCTCTCCCAAACTAGATCTGACACCGGATGAACACTTTCGTGTCACCAAGCATCTGGATCAGATTGTAGTTCATGACGCTACTCTCATGCAGTAAAAACGAATTCAGAAGAAAAAATTCTAAGATTCGGCTCAATAGCCAATGGAATCCTCACCGAACATATATATCCCCATCGAAAATCCCTTAGACCCAACAATAAAATTACTCAGACATGATAAACAAAATCAAAATCATAGTATTAAAAAGTAGTACAGCAATCGAAATTGAATAAGAAATAACAAGGGTTCAAGAGATAGATCTCTCTCTGCCTAAAACCTAAAACCTGAAAAGTATTCTAAAACAATAAGAGCATATGAGGTCATGCGAATTAGGGTTCCTAAAACATGTATTTATAGTGCTCAAGACATCTCTGGGCGTCACTTAGGGTTTCTCCAAATGAGGGAATCATTTTGGGCTTCAGAAATGGACCTTCGCGTTCGGAGTTAGCTGGCCGCGGTCGGGAAGTGCGTGACCGCGGGGAATGGATGGCTGGCCGAGGTCGGGGAGCTTGTGACCACGGGAAATGGCATATTGGCCGCGGGTGGAAACTCTTGACGGCTGGTTTACGGAACATCTTGCTATTCGCGTATCTTTTGATTGAACTGTTGGATTGCCAAGCTGTAAAATGTGCTGGAAAGCTGATACTTCCATCTTTAAGATCTCCAAATTTGAGATGGATCAGACGGTGAGAAGGCCTTTAATCGGGGGTGAACTTGTGACGGTTTGACTCTGAGCTGAAATCTGGTCTTCTATCTATTTTGTTAAACTTTTCCCTAAGTTACCTGAAAAGAGTCTTGGAACTACAAATACTAGAAAAACGTAATAAAAGTACTTAAAAGCAATTAAAACATAGAAAACGTATTTCAAAACGATCCATAAAAGTGGTCAAAATACGGTGTTATCAAGTATCCACAAGGAAATAGGCAAGCTGAAGCAACCAATAAGATTATCATTGACGGCCTCAAAAAGCGGCTCGATAAGGCATAGTGAACGTGGGCAGATGAACTCGATGGCGTTCTCTGGTCTCACCGAACTACACCTCGGCGATCTATTGAACAATCACCTTTCTTCCTCGTGTATGGAATGAAGGCTATGTGTCCTGCCAAACTGAACGTTCCCAGCATTCGCCGAACTATGCTCACTCAACAGCCAGGTGTCAACAAATACATGATGCTACACACGATCGACTTAGTCGAAGAACAACGCGAACAAGCGTTCCTTCGAATACAGAACCACCAGCAATTTGCAGCTCGCTACTATAACAAAAAGGTTAAGGACCATCACTTCA